GAACGCACATTTTCAAAGGAGAATAACTGACTGTAGCATTGGTTTTCAGATAAACAAGTATGTTAACTTAGCATGTTTCTTAAATATCTGCAAACATTATGGTATTTATATGCTTTAGTAGAGTCAAAAACTTACATACGGCACCTTTAAAGCAGGCGGTAGCCTAATTTGCGCTGCTCTTGGTAGATTGCTCTTCTCATTATGGAAATGATCTGGCTGTCTGTTCTTTAATGTGCCCATTGTCAGTAAATCACCCACAGAATTTTCCCCTCATCGGCGCTTTTATGGAATTGCGCTTTAACGCTAATTTGCCCAGTTTAGTAAATCTGGCCCCATATGAGCAATTGACATATTAAGGAAATAAAAAGTACTTAAGGAGAGTACACTTTTATAACTATGTTTTTTAACACACTTAAGTAGTTTTAAAAAGTAAACTTTGTAATAATGTCAAATTAAACTCTTTACTTTTAAGTACCTTTTAAATTATTGCATTAATAACCTATGGCTATACTTTACAAATGTGTTATTAATAATACTTAAATACATGATATACAGGTTTAGATTGAAATTACATTAAAGTATATTTTTAGTTTACCAAAAAGGCTTGACAGGACATTTGGCCATATTTCAAAGAAAATCGAATTATGTAAATACATATGAAGCTGTATTAAAGTTGGTCAAAAAGGCACTGTTCATATAACAGAAGTGCATTTATTTTCAATTTAATCTCTAATACAATTTCATGTAATTGCAAATATCATGCAATTAAAAGACTGAAAGCACGACATTCAATCTGCACTTGAATATATTCTTTTAAAGTATGTTAGATCCACAATAAGTAGTCTTTTTACTACAGACAGACGCTAGTGTTTAAATATGTTAATATTATGACAAATATGTTTATGTTCATCGTACAGTCAGTCAGTCGTTATCTAGGATTAAATAACCAATCAGAATGAAAAAGCCAGAGAAGAGATGAATCACAACGAATCATTAATGGGCGATGTTAATTACATGAATCAATCATTCTGTGTGTTATTGATTAATGTATTTGTTCACTAATGATAAGATAATAAGAGAGATTTTAAAGAATATTTAAAAGTAACTGTTGTTTAATGAGTTGTTACTAAACACTTCTCATGAACAATTACAATAAAATCTTTCAATAACGATGCTCTTTTCATATTTTGAGCTACAGTTTATTTAATCAGCGCTGTATAAATAATTTATTAATTTTAATCTTTGAACGTTGCTGATGTTTATGCTAACACTTATGTCAAAACAGACTGCAAAACTGCATATATACAATCAAAAGAGTCTTAAACAGCTTCGTCTGACTCTTACCTCAGAGTCCTTCCTCTGGTTTCTGGTGAACTCGCCGCGCATTTTATTCGGCAACATTTGGTTCTGTTTCTGTTTGTTGTTAGCACATAAACCGACACCCTCCATCTTCACTCCACTTCCGGCTCCCGCTCCACACTCTCGCGTTACTTACAGACATCTCGCGATGCTACAGCCTGTGGCGTCAGCGGCTCCTGACGTGACCTTGATTTAATATAATTATCGCTATTTTTTTATTCAAACAATTACTTTTCATAATATATGAGGGTACAGGATGTTCCTTCAAGGTAAAAATAAATAAATAAATAAATAAATAATGTGATCCTGGACTGGACCACAAAACCAGTCATAAGGGTCAATTTTGTGAAATTGAGATTTATACATCATCTCGTTAGTAAAGAAGGTGGCAAGGCTACGGTCAAATGACAAAGAAACATTCCAAGTGTAAAGAACTACTATAAACCGACACCCTCCATCTTCACTCCACTTCCGGCTCCCGCTCCACACTCTCGCGTTACTTACAGACATCTCGCGATGCTACAGCCTGTGGCGTCAGCGGCTCCTGACGTGACCTTGATTTAATATAATTATTGCTATTTTTATTCACACAATTACTTTTCATAATATATGAGGGTACAGGATGTTCCTTCAAGGTAAAAATAAATAAATAAATAAATAATGTGACCCTGGACTGGACCACAAAACCAGTCATAAGGGTCAATTTTGTGAAATTGACCAAAATATACATCATCTTGTTAGTAAAGAAGGTGGCAAGGCTACGGTCAAATGACAAAGAAACGTTCCAAGTGCAAAGAACTACTTTACGTGAAATAACTTGCTTGTATGCCCAACAGGGGTCGCTATAGGATCAAATCAACATAAACCGACACCCTCCATCTTCACTCCACTTCCGGCTCCCGCTCCACACTCTCGCGTTACTTACAGACATCTCGCGATGCTACAGCCTGTGGCGTCAGCGGCTCCTGACGTGACCTTGATTTAATATAATTATTGCTATTTTTATTCACACAATTACTTTTCATAATATATGAGGGTACAGGATGTTCCTTCAAGGTAAAAATAAATAAATAAATAAATAAATAATGTGATCCTGGACTGGACCACAAAACCAGTCATAAGGGTCAATTTTGTGAAATTGAGATTTATACATCATCTCGTTAGTAAAGAAGGTGGCAAGGCTACGGTCAAATGACAAAGAAACATTCCAAGTGTAAAGAACTACTTTACGTGAAATAACTTGCTTGTATGCCCACCAGGGGTCGCTAGAGGATCAACTCATTGCTGCCAACGCTCTGCTGGAGGCTTATGGTAATGCCAAGACTGTGAGGAATGACAACTCATCTCGTTTTGCAACTCAGTGAGGTCAGAGTAAATACATTTTTGCATTTTGTTATACATACTGAATCATTTCTATCTCCTTAGGGTAAACTCATTAGGATTCACTTCGGATCCACTGGAAAACTGGCTTCAGCTGATATTGAAACTTGTGAGTCATGTTGTTTCTAGACAAATATATTCATAAGCCCTTCAAAGGGCTTCATATTCAAAGTCATTTTGTGATTTTATATCAAAGATGTGCTGGAAAAGTCAAGAGTAACATTCCGGTTGTCTGCTGAGACCAGCTATATATCTTCTGACCAGCTAATGACCGTACAAAAGCCAGAGCTGCTTGGTGAGAAATCTACTTTTTTTTTGGTGTAAAAACCCAGTGAAATGTCTGTTGAGCAGTTAAGTTACAGTCTGAATAAAAACAGATTTAAAAACTACAAGACACTTTGAAAAATTAATAAGCTTCAGGCACGTCACAACCAATTGATGGTCCATTTAAGAAATAACGTATAAGCTTATATAATGCAACCGAAAACACAGTTTTTGTTATTTGGTATTGCTAGTTGGTGGCCTCAAAGCTTAGAACACAGAAGACAGTACTATCCTGTCTTGGAAAGCGATTAACAGTCAATTTGATGTTTTACAGAGGCCCTGCTTATCACCACCAATCCTTATAACTATCCAAACGATCAGCCAGCGGGGAACCACTGTCAAGAGTATCAATGACGTAGAGGAGTTCATTGCCACAGATGTAAGTGGACAACTGCATAACTATTCTTTATTTAATTCATCGATTATGAGCAAAAATCCATTTAAAAGAACACTGCAGAAGATAATACAGATGCTTCTATAATGTGCATTTGTTTTGTTGGTATAAAAAATACGGCTACTGATATTCTGGGCTTCAGCGCTGAAGAGAAAATAAGCATCTACAAGCTGACAGGTGCTGTGATGCATCATGGAAACATGAAATTCAAGCAGAAGCAGAGAGAGGAGCAAGCTGAACTTGATGGCACTGAAGGTAAGGCTATTGAGATTCTCCATGTAAATTAATGGAAGATCTGCACTGTCACTGAGATAAGTGTACTGTAATTTACTTCAGCTCTTCTTACATAATTACCATGCCAATCAATCTGGAAAACTTTTTTCTTAGTGGCCAATAAAATTGCCTACCTCATAGGCCATGGTTGCTCTTTAAGCATGCTTCACTTTGTCAGACAGGTTCTATTTAAGTGATTTCTTGATTCAACAGGTCTGCCAGTAATCAGGCCTGGGTGTGGCTAGTGAAATTTAACTCAGCTTTCTAAAATAATGATGTTAATCAGTTCTTTCATGATTTAACAGGAGAGGGCAATACATTCTTCACATAGGGCCAGGTAGGTTTGGACAGCTTTTTTTCCCTTAATAAATAAAATAATCATTTAAAAACTGCATTTTGTAGTATTATCTATTATTATTTGTATTATCTTTGTGTAATATTAACATTTGTTTGATGATCTGAATCTTTTAAGTGTGACAAATATGCAAAAAATAAAAACAGGAAGGGGGCAAAAACCTTTTCACGGCACTGTAGAAAAAAAAAAAAAAAAAAAAAAAAATTTATATATATATATATATGCTTTTATAAACAAATAAAAAGTATGAAAAAATATTAACTAAAATGTTTCTTTCTTAAAAAAAAATTTTTTTTTTTTACAGGGCAAGGAAACAGCCGAGTATATCCTCAAGCCTAGATCACCACAGGAAGTAATCATAAAATATGATTACTTGCAGCTGTTTTACTGCTGTAATAAAAACCTGCTGTTCTCTTTCATTATCAAATACCTGTATATATTTTTGGAATAAAAAATTAAAATCCATACCAAGTTGACGTGAAAAATATGAATGTCTTTATCTCACCAATTCTCTTATAAACATCTCCCAGAAGTGTATTGACACAATATGATACAAAGTTAGCCTTTCTTGATAGATTTGTGCCATCTGTACAAAATGAAGTGATATGGAAGACCGCAGAAAGGGAGGAAAAACCCTTTCACATAGTTAACAAACATCTGCAGAACAAAATACAAAAAAAAAACAAACGCACAAAAAAAGAATGAAAACATTCCTATTCACATCATTAAATTCATTGTAACACAGAGACATTTTTACATAAAGACAATAGTATAAATACTCTAATTGGCATGAAATAATACTGTTAGAACGCTCATAGCTCACATACAAACATTAAGCCGATATTCAAAGATAAGCCTGAATCAAAGTCATCCAAAGAAAGCGGCTCAATACTGATTTCATGCACTCTTTACACTAATTCAGTAGCGCTCACTTGCATTTCAGCATAGTTGACATAATTCAAAGTATTGCTCAAGCCATTACGATACAAAATACGTCAAACGAAACCCTTTCAGTTCAATTTAGAAGAATCTCGACCCATTCATTTGGAGGTTCAATTGTTTTGGAAGTGTGGCCACATTAAAAGATGAAATACCACCAAGTAATAAATTTTTTTGTCTAAATGGACCTTTAAAATGTTATAATTACTGGCTTGGTGAGCAGAAGAGAATTCTTTAAGAAACATTAAAAATCTTGCAGTTCAAAAACCTTTGACTGGTAGTGTAGGCTGATTATTCTTATAGATTGAAACGTGCATTAACCAGGATAACGAGTATGAAACATGCTCCGAGTTGCTTCAGAAAACAAACAAATAGAGCAACAACAAAAGCATGTTGCTGGAAATGTGTTTATTATTGAAAATGCAAACTGATTCTCCGCCAGCAGGAGGCGCTGTGAGAGCGGTGGAACTAACGGTTTCTCCAGTAATGGCTGTAAACAAAGCAGCTCCGCTCATGAATGCTACTTTATCAGATCAAATGAAAATGCCATCTAAACTATTCTGAAGACAGTCGGTTCCCTTAAGACGCTCTGCTAGCAGGAGGCGCTTTTAGAGTGATAGAACTAGCGGTTTCTCCAGTAATGGCTGTAATCAAAGCAGCTCTGCTCATGAATGCTACTTTATCAGATAAAATGAAAATGTCATTGAAACTTTTCTGAAGACAGTCGGTTCCCTTCACAGATACATTTATATAAAACACCCGCGACATTTTTTGATTTTGAAACGTGCAGTGCTCATGTTTATTCAACGAAGTCAAACGCCACAAATAAATCAATGTATGTTATGGGAAACACTGGTAATGTATATCGAAAGATCGGAAATGTGTTTAAAAATCATATCACCGTTATTGAAAAAAATTATATCGCGATACATATTGATATTGAATTATTGTCCAGCCCTACTGAAAAGCAACAAAACATATGCGATAAAATCCAAAACATTTCAATAAAAGCATGAAAGCGTCTCAAAATTCACACCTGATACATATCGCAAGCAATATACACACGTGTCTTTTAAATTAAATCAAAATAAATACATATCGATCCTTGGTTAACATCTACGGACTCATCAAGAAGATAAAGTTGGTCCGTTCAGTGGCTCAAAGGGTCGACTGTCCTTCTAGTAAATGTCCTAAACTCCTGAAGTTTAATAGCGGTTATCATTTTTCCCAGCATGCAGCGGGACATCGAGACATCGGCTTGCATTCCATTTCATTAAAACACACTGAACTAGATCAAGTCAGTGTGGAATAACCATATTTACATCAGAAAAAAGTTAAAACCATTTGAGTGACAGAATTAGTAGAATATGCATAATAAACCCATACTGAACGTCAAAAGATGTATCACGAGAAACACCCCAAAATCAACAGAAAAATACCCAAAAACTCACGAAAAAGGGTATTTGTAGGAATATCGCGCATATTTTTTGCATTGTGACATTATTTTAATGTTTTTTTTTTACTATTTGAATAATCATAAATTAAGGCAGTATAACAAATGCTACCATATTGTAAAAATATTTTTATTCCCACATTACAATAATGAGAAAAAGTTTTTTTTTTCACATTATGGTAATGAGATTTGGAGGGAAAATGTGCTTTTAAAATCTTAATGATCCTAAAATTGTGCTTCAACTTATTTATGTGCCACTTCCTATTCATATCTTTTGATTTTGGGGTGAAATATGAACTTTTGCCAGGTTTCATGACATTCACCCTCATACTGTATACCAGGGTTCCTCAAATCTTGCCCTGGAGGGCCAATGCGCTGCAGAGTTTAGCTCCAACCCTGATCAAACTCACCTACCTGTGATTTTCTAATGATCCTGAAGACATTGATTAGCATGCTCAGGTGTGTTTGATCAGGGTTAGAGCTAAACTCTGCAGGAAAGTGGATCTCGTGGGCCAGATTTGAGGATCCCTGCTGTATACTGTAAACATTCAATACCGTGTCTTTCTCCAGCATTTATTCAGGGTCAGTCGAATCCACGTCCAGTGCTATTGTTGGTCCATTCGGACAAGTGCGCCAAGGCACTGTTGGGTAACAAACCAGGCAGCAGTTTTTAGACACAATATATGCCCTTAAACATTCGACAAAGGCTCTAAATGAACACAAAACTAAATCTAAATCTTCTTTTCTAAACGAAGCAGTTTGCATTAATACGGCATTCTCTCTTGGCAAGGAAGCTTAAAAAAAAAACGATATTTCAATGAAAGCTGCATTTGAGCATCCACGTATGTCAGGGTTTGGCACTAAATTGAGAACGAAGCAAGACTCAAATAAACACACAATGCGAGATTGTGATAATAACCGTCAAAACGTGAGTCGCGTTTCAGTATTTCGAAACAAACCAGGTCCTTTCCTGTTTTTGGCAAGCAAAAATACTTTACGGCAGCAGAAAGACTGTACGTTTTTTTTGTGTACGTTTTCTGAATATAAAGGTGAAATGATTTAAGACAGTTTTTTTTTTTTTTGGATCTGCACAATGTTCCACGTTTCCCCATCATGCTCTGCTGTAACGGCACACACCGGGAGTGGCGTACGGATGAGGGACAGGAACACTGAAGGCAGTGGGACCTGGATTAAGATCGTAGAATGAGGTAAAGCCACAACAACTGAATCCAGAGCAGAACTCGCATCGGACAGTGTAAAGAGTGAGCGCTGCCACACTCTGACGCATTCTCCTGCCAGAAACACAGACAAACAGAGAACGTTTAGGTTAACGCTGACCACAGACTCACCATCAGCAAAGCAAGTTGTTTGACGCTGGTTGCTAGGGTGTTGCTATGCAGTTTTAAGGTGTTCCAATTGCTATTTGGGTGTTGTGAGTGGTTGCCAGGATGTTGCTATGTGATAGTTGAGAGTTCCTGACAGTTGCTTAAAACGGTCACTTGAATGAAGAGAAGCGCAGCGCCGCGTTGCGCCACATCTTTAAAATTCGAACACATTGTTTTATATGAGTGTACACTTCTCATCCGGTGTGTGACCACCATTAGGGAGTCACTTTGCGGTTACTAGGGTGTTCTAGGTGGTTGCCAGGATGTTGCTATGCAGTTTCTAGGTTATTTCAGGTAGCTGACAGGTCATTCATACGCAATTTCTAGGGTGTTTTGGGTGGAACCAGATGTGGTTCTTTGAGTTTTCTTGGTAGTTGCTTAGGGCATTACTATGGGGTTGTTAGGGTGTTCTACGTGGTTGCCAGGATGTCACTATGTGGTTGTTTGAGTGTTCTTGGTGGTTGGTAGGATGTCTGCATTAAGTTATTAGGGTGTTTAGGTTGGTTACCCAGATGTGGTTCCTTGGGAGTTCTTGGTTGTTGCTTAGGACATCACTATGCTCTTGCTAGGTTGTTTTAGGTGGTTGCCAGGACGTGGTTGTTTAAGTGTTTTTGGTAGTTGCTAGGATGTTTGCATGAAGTTGCTAGGGTGTTTTGGGTGGTTACACAGATGTGGTTGCTTGTGAATTCTTGGCTTTTGCTTGGCATCACTACGCAGTTGCTATGTGTCTTTTAGGTGGTTGCCAGGATGTTGCTATGTGGTTGTTAAAGTGTTCTTGGTATTTGCTAGGATGTCTCCATGCAGTTGCTAGGGTGTTTTGGATGCTTAAGAGTTTTTGGTAGTTGCTTAGGGAATCACTATGGAGTTGCTACAATGTTCTTGGTGGTTGCCAGGTGGTTGCTATGTGGTTTCTAGGGTGTTTTGATACGCGGATACATTTTCTACGTTGTTTGTGCTTTGATTTGAACGAAAACATCGTATCCGTGTGGTGCGGCTGACACAGAACAACATA